AAGGGACCTTAGGAGTCGCTGGAGTCGCCTCCCGGCGGGCAAAGTGTCATCACCCGCTTTACACAGATGAGGCGACTGAAGCCCCCCCAGACCCAGGCCACCCCGTGAGCAACTCACCAGCGGTCCACTCCTGGCGCTGGCGCGTGTCCGAGGCGCTCATCTCGTACGTGCGGGAGGCCGTCTTCACACAGAACATGCAGCGCTTTCCCTCGCGGTCAGGCAGCACCTGGGAGAGGGCAGGTGTCCAGGCAGGCTGGCCTCACGGAGGTCAGGGTCAGCTCCAGCTCCAGCCCCTACCCCTCCTGGCTGACCATCTTCCCTGGCCACCCTCCCACTCTGTTTGCCGGAGCCTGTGTGCCAGCTTGGAGTTAGTTCTGGGGCTACGTGTGTCCTCACAGCTCTTGTAGACTTTGCTCTTTGAAGGGGAGTGGGCTGTTTCCATCTTGGTATCTCCCCGCAGGGCCTAGCACAGGGGTGGGCAAACTTTTTGACTCGAGGGCCACAATGGGTTCTTAAACTGGACCGGAGGGCCGGAACAAAAGCATGGATGGAGTGTTTGTGTGAACTAATATAAATTCAAAGTAAACATCATTACATAAAAGGGTATGGTCTTTTTTTTTTTTTTTTTAGTTTTATTCATTTCAAATGGGCCAGATCCGGCCCGCGGGCCCTAGCATCTAGTCGCCACTCAGTGCTCATGCAGGTCATGCTTGAACACCTCCAGTGACGGGGTCCTAGCTATCCAGAATCTTCTCCATTCATTTATTTCACAGATATTTTGGAGTGTCTACTGAGTGCCACTCATATTCAGGCATTTGGGATACTGAGGTGTGCCTCACAGACCAAATCCCTCCCTGCTGAGCTACACTCTAGTGGAAAACAATAGTTACTACATTTTGAGCTTCTTATGTTGTAGGGTCTGTACGGTGTTTTATTTTATTTATTTATTTTTTTATATATTTTATTTTTTACAGAGAGGAAGGGAGAGAGATAGAGAGTCAGAAACATCGATGAGAGAGAAACATCGACCAGCTGCCTCCTGCACACCTCCCACTGGGGATGTGCCCGCAACCCAGGTACATGCCCTTGACCGGAATCGAACCCGGGACCTTTCAGTCCGCAGGCCGACGCTCTATCCATTGAGCCAAACCGGTTTTGGCTGTACGGTGTTTTATATGCCTCATTTTATTCACTCCTCCCAGACAACCTCGTCAGCCAGGCATCATTATCTCCACTTTACAGAGAAGGAAACCAAGGCTCTGAGAGGCCCAGAGCTTGCCCAATTCACACTGCCTGTTAGTGGTGGAGTTGGGATTTCTGCCTAGATCTGTGTTCTTTCCACAGTGACACCTGTTTCCTCATTTGACAAAAATGGACAGAGCCTAGGGCAGGGGTCCTCAAACTTTTTAAACAGGGGGCCAGCTCACTGTTTCTCAGACCATTGGAGGGCCGGACTATAGTTTTAAAAAAAACAAAACTATAAACATATTCCTATGCACATTGCACATATCTTATTTTGAAGTAAAAAAAACAAAACAGGAACAAATACAATATTTGTATTTGCATGTGGCCTGTGGGCTGTAGTTTGAAGACCCCTGGCCTAGGGTGGCTATAATAATTTTTTAAAATGGACACACAGAACCTAGATACAGAACCTAGAGACAGAACCAAGAGAGACAGAACCTACACACAGAACCTAGAGATTTTGTATGTGATGAGAGAGCACCAGAAATCTCCTCTTAGCAAATTTCCAGATTTCAATACAGTTTCTGTCCATTTTTAATGTCCAACAAAGGAGATTTCAGAGATGGTTGGCTTCAAGAACGTGGCTAGAGAACCTGGACAGAACCTGGCGACTGAACCTGCCTGGAGAACCTAGCAAGAGAACAGGGACACAGAACCTGGCTGGAGATCCTAACCAGAACTTGGCTGGAGATCCTGACCAGAACTTGGTTAGAGATCCTGGCTAGGCTGCTGATCAACTGAACGCTGTCTCTGTGTCATTCCTTCTTCGCCGACTTCGTCCACACTTTTGGGGACCCCTGGACCTGCTGGGGTTGGACCCCAGCATCAAGCTAGTTGCCCAAAAGTTGAAAAAAGTTTCAATTAGCTGCCTAAACAGAACACAATCCCACACGATGTTCAGTTGAGTCACAGTGGATTAAATGGACGTCATAAAAAGAAAAAAGAAAAAAATAATTTTTTAAAATGTAAAATAACAAGTGTTGGTGAGGATGTGGAGAAATTAGAACCCTCATCCACTGCTGGTAAGAATGTAAGCAGGTGCAGCCACTATGGGAAACAGTTTGTTCCTCTAAAAGTTAGATAAAATAACCCTATGATCCAGCAATTCTACTCTTAGGTATGTACTCAGAGAAATGAAAACACATCTCCCCCCAGAAATTTGTAGATGGATATTAATAACAGCATTATTCACAACTAGAGGCCTAGTGTATGAAAATTCATGCACTCGGGGGATAGGGGGTAGTCCCTCAGCCCGGCCTGTGCCCTCTCGCAGTCCAGGACCCCTCAGGGGATGTCCCCCTGCCACACACACACACACACACACACACACATATATGTTGATTTCAGAGAGGAAGGGGAAGGGAGAGAGAGAAAAACATCATTGATGAGAGAGAATCATTGATCGGCTGCCTCCTGCACGCTCCCCACTAAGGATGGAGCCCGCAACCTGGGAATGTGCCCCCGATAGGAATCAAACCCGGGACCGTTCAGTCTGAAGGCCAACGCTCTATCCACTGTGCCAAACCAGCTAAGGCTAAAAAAATATATATATTTTTTATTGATTTCAGAGAGGAAGGGAGAGGGAGAGAAAGATAGAAATATGGATGACAGAGACACTTCGATGGGCTGCCTCCTGCACACCTCCTACTGAGTATTGAGCCCAGCCCGCAACCCAGGCATGTGCCCTGACCAGGAATCGAATCTGGGACCTTTTGGCCCATGGGGCATGCTCCATCCACTAAGGCACACCAGTCGTGTTGCAGATTTTATATATATATACAGTGGGGCCTTGAATTACAAGTTTAATTTGTTCCAAGGCCGAGCTCATTAAGGAGCTTGTTAACTCAAATTACTCTGTCAACTCAATGCAAAAAATCTGCCAAGAGACAGCTGGTATCTCAAAAAACTCGTTAGTCGTGACACTTGTAAGTCAAGGCCCCACTGTGTGTGTGTGTGTGTGTGTGTGTGTGTGTATACTCACACACCTGACATGGATGAGAACGGCCTTGAGACACCCCGGTATATTTGGGTGACACACATCTAAGCAGAAATAGTCACTGGCTTTTCTCCACTCGCCCTCCTGAGCCTCTTGCCCTCACACCCCACGGAAGGCCTTCTGGGCCCCGAGGTGCGCGCCAGCCCTCCCCCTGGCCCCTTACCTCCACGCAGCACTGCCCGTCCAGTGGGATAGTGCCCCTTTTCTCCTTGCACTCTTCACTCCCGAAATAGCAGAGGCAGCTGGGCTGCAGCTGGAACCAGCGTTCCGCCCAGTTCCTCCTCAGGTGCCCTCGCTTCCACAGGTAGCCCTGCCAGACAGGGCAAAGTCAGAGGCTTCACTCCCCCCCCTTCACTCCTCCTGGGGTCCTCCCCTGTTGCCAGCGTGGCCTGACCTGTTTCAGCACATCTTGGATGAGTTCCTGGTAGACCTCGTGGATGGCCATGCTGAGGGTGTCCCGCCCCACGCCGCGCAGACAGCGGCCCGAGTTGAAGAGCTCCAGGAACTGCCAGACGCTGAGCCCCCCGGTGGTCTGGGCTGCCGGGGCCTCCTGGGCCAGCAGCTCCTCCAGCTCCGCCAAGCTCACCTCCAAGCTCATGCTGCTGAGCACCTTCTTCAGCAGGTACTCCACCTGCAGGGGGAGAAGCCTGTGACTGCCCAGGCAGTGCTGCTGGTACCAACACTAGGGGGCGCTCCCGCCTGGCTCCCAGAGCCTGGGCGGAGGTGATCAGGAACAGGGGGGTGGGAGTGGGGGCAGAGAACTAAACTGGTGAACCAGGGTAGAGATTTGGGAGGGGATCCTGGAGTCCCAACCCCCAAGTCAGGCATCCACTCCCTTTCCCCAACTTCCAGTCCCATCCCTTCCTGCCTTAAATGAAGGGCAGGCGAAGGTAGGCGCTATAGGCTAGGTAGGGGCTAGGCAGGGGCGAGGCAGAGGCAGCAGTCACAGAACAGGAGCCCTCTCATCCAATACCCTCACTTAGCAGATGACAAAACCGGGCCCAAAGGGGGAAGTGACTTGTTCTAAATCACACAGCAAGTTGGTGGCGCCAGAACTTGACTCGGATCTCCTGAATCCCATGTGAGCCCTCTTCTGAGCCCCAACCCTGGGGGCCCTCCCTTATGGGAGGGCGAGGGGCCTGACGCTGGGGTAAGCAGGGCAGGGACAGGAAACCTGTTGGGGAGGAACCGGAAGTGGTGGTTGGGGTACATCCTGCTGCAGCTGGTTCACGCTGTGTGCTGATCACAGCAGCAAGCAGCCTTCTGGGAGGCCGCCTGCCCTGACTGGCAGGGCCTGGTAAGGCTGCCAACCTCGGTGTGTGTAGATGGACACACGTCCCTCTCCTGCCCCAGCAGCTTCTTGGGAAACCCTGGGTCTCAGCTGGGACTGGGGCGGGGTGCGCCAGTTCAGGGCTCAGGTGGCTCCCCTCAATGTTCCCACAGACAGAAGCAAGGATACAAATCTGAGAGCAGTCAGATGTGTGAGTACCTCTTGTAAACACGGAGGACCCTCCCCATTTTCTCTAATCCAAAGACTTAAATTCACCCTGACACCCTCACAGCCAAGAGGGCTTCAAGGGCGGGAGAAGGCTGAGCGGATGGGAGAGGGTGGAGAGCAGAGGGCGGCAGGTTGATGGGGGAGGGGGCCGTGCCCGGACCTCACTGATGAGTTGGGGCGGGAGGGTGCATGCCTGGCCTCTACTCCCAGGAGACCTCCCTGGTCCCGCGCTGAGTCTGCCCCTGCGCTCCCTGTACTGTAGCAGGAGGGGGAATCTGGAGCCAGGTCAGATGCAGTTGTCCACCAGGAGTAATGAGAGAGGTCCTAGAAGGGTCTCCCTCCCCCTCATAGCACACCTTCTCCCAGGGCCACCGTCCTCAAACCCTGCATCTGATCTTAAATGTTTTTGTTTTAAATGCCCAGTAAGGTATAGGCATTCACACCTCTGTGTAAATGGAATTACAGGTCATTTTCGGGCTGTGAGGCCGGCAGGGCCTGAGGAAGTGTGGTTTTGCTGCTCCTGGGAGAAGGCACGGGCGTTCTGACAGGGGTGGTTGGGGGGCCCGCAGGTAGCGGGTGGAGCAGGTATCAGCGTGGGAACACAGAGAAGAAAGGGGACATGGGAAAGTACAGAGGCCACTGGGCTTCCTTCATGGCGTGGCTGAGGCCTGGCCCCAGCTGGTGCCGTCCCCGGGGTTGCCATCGCCCTCACCTCATCGGGAACCATGATCAGAGGGTATTTGTCCTCAGACAGGAAGTTGAAGAGGCACCAGAGGCGGAAGGCATCCTGATTGGAGAGCATGCTGTTCCCGTTGCTACCCGCCCGGTAGTTCTTCTTGGCCGTCAGGGTCCAGCACAGCTCATCAAAGTGCTCCTTAACAAAAGCCCCCTCCTCCACCTGCCCCAGGCCTGAGGTCAGTCAAGGAGGCCGCCCGGCCCGGGTATACCCCCCACCAGGCTCCAGCTGGTTTCTCGGGTCATCTTCTCTCCGGCTCCCCACCCAGCCAGGTCCCCCTCTAACGGAGGTATCCCTGAGCTGATTACCAGGTGACTAGCTGGTTCCAACCACCCTGACCGCCCCCCCACACACACACATCCACACCCACCCAAGTTCCCTTAGCCCAGAGGAGAAAGAAGGAAGGCCCCGGGGGGGGGAGGGTGGACAGTCAAGAAGAACCTGAGAAGACAGTGACAGGAGGAGCAGCGGGGACAGCAGAGGGGGAGCTGGAGAGCCCTTTGTACAGGTTACAGCCTGAAGCTGGATGTGGCCCCGGCAGGATGGGGCGGGAAGCTATGGGAAGGGTGGAGGCTAGGAGAGAGCTGAGGGAGACTCAAGGTGAGCTCAGGGGGGCTAGGAGGGGTGAGTGGCTGGGAAGTGAAGGATGGACATGGGAGAGGTACAGGGGGGACAGAAGTGGGAGTTTGTAGGGGAGGACATGTGTTGGGGTGCTGGCTGGGAAGTGGGGAGAGGTAGAGGTGCCTCCCCAGCTGGGCCTCACCTTGTCCAGGATGTACTTGTTGAGGTAGGGCATGTATCCCTGGCTGGACACGGGGCCATCGTCGTCGTCTCGGAAGTGCTCCTCCAGAGCCACGGGGTCGTGGGGGATGTGCAGGACCGTGTACAGGTTGTGGGACAGCACCTGAGACAGAGGGCCAGTTAGCCTCTTGCACCCCCACCCGAACCGGGCCCACGGACAGCCCCCACCTCTGTCCCCTTCCCCATCCTGGGGAGGTCCTCTGCACTCGTCATGCAATTCAATCATAACCGAAACACACCCATATATAATGGAATATTATTCAGCCATAAAAAAGAATGATCTTTGCCATTTGCAACAACATGGATGCTAAGTGAAGTAAGTCAGAGAAAAACAAACATGTATAATCTCAATTATATGTGGAATCTAAAACAAACAAACAACCATAAAAACCCTCAGAGATTCAGAGAATAGATTGGTGGTTGCCAGCGGCAGGGAGAGCGGGTGGGGAAAATGGGTGAAGGGGTCAAAGTTACAAACTTCCAGCTATAAAACCGGTCACGGGGTGCAACGTCCAGCGCGATAACGGCAGTTAATAGCACCGTATTGCTTATTTACAAGCTGCTAAGAGTCCATTTCTCCAGCAGGAAGGAGGTTGGAGCTGAGGAAAAGAACTACCATGTCTTCCAGGGCTTTGAGGAGACCAGATGCGTGGCCTTCTGGCCAGGCGTCTGCGATTGCACATTGTTGGAGCGATACTGTGTCCCTGGGGGTGGCAGCTTTCTGTGAGTTTGCTGTAGGGGAACCAAGAAAGAAGGCATTTGCAGATTCCCACAGAAACTATAATTCCAGGGAAGAGTTTGAGGAGATGAAGAAAGCTGGCATCTCTCAGAGTGCAATGTGACCTTGGAATGTAAGGAATTTCTTTGGGTTGAATTCCATGGGAGTTTGTCACTGAGCTGTGCTCCTGAATATGAAACAGGGATATCTGAGCTAAGGCAGTGATGGCGAACCTTTTGAGCTCAGCATGTCAGCATTTTGAAAAACCCTAACTTAACTCTGGTGCCGTGTCACATATAGAAATTTTTTGATATTTGCAACCATAGTAAAACAAACATTTATATTTTTGATATTTATCTTATATATTTAAATGCCATTTAACAAAGAAAAATCAACCAAAAAAATGAGTTCGCGTGTCACCTCTGACACGAGTGTCATAGGTTCGCCATCACTGAGCTAAGGAATAGTTCTCTTGATAAAGAAATGATCTGATAAATAAATGATTAAGAAATAAAAAAAGAGCCCGGCGGGCGTGGCTCAGTGGTTGAGCATTGACCTATGAAATAGGAGGTCACAGTTCGATTCCCAGTCAGAGCACATGACTGGTTTGCAAGCTCGATCCTGGTGTGGGCAGTGCAGGAAGCAGCCGATCAATGATTCTCTCATCATTGATGTTTCTATCTCTCTCCCCTTCTCATTTCCTCTCTGGAGTCAATAAATATATATTTAACAACAGCAAAAAAATAAAAATAAATAATAAATAAGGAAGTTGCTAAGAGAGTAAGTATTAAACATTTTCATCACAAGAAAAAACCTTTTTTGGTACCTACACGTGGTGATGCATGTTAACTAGACTTATCGTGGTGGTCATTTCCCACTACAGTTGACCCCTGAACCACGTGGGGTTAGGAACAGCAATACCCCCACCTTCACCCCCACAAAGTTGAAAATCTAAGTATAACTTTTGATTCCTCAAAAACTATTTTTTTTCAACAATGACTTTTTTTTAAAATATATTTTATTGATTTTTTACAGAGAGGAAGGGAGAGAGATAGAGAGCTAGAAACATCGATGAGAGAGACATCGATCAGTTGCCTCCTGCACATCTCCTACTGGGGATGTGCCCGCAACCCAGGTACATGCCCTTGACTGGAATCGAACCTGGGACCTTTCAGTCCGCAAGCCAACGCTCTATCCACTGAGCCAAACCGGTTTCGGCAATTCCTCAAGAACTTAACTACAGCCCTGGCCCAGGGGTTGGAGTGCCGTCCTGTACACTGAAGGGTTGTAGGTTCGATTCTCAGCACATACCCAGGTTGTGGGTTTGAGTCCCAGTTGGGGTACCTATGGGAGGCAACAGATCAATGTTTTTCTCTCACAACAGTGTTTCTCTCTCCCTCTCCCTTCCCCTCTCTAAAATCAATGAAAAAGAAACATTAAAAAGCTTTTTCAAAAACGAACTACAGTTGTCCCTCGGTATCTGCGGGGGATTGGTTCCAGGACCCTGTGGACACACGGTTCCGCAGATGCTAAAGTCCTTTCTGTCACATGGCGTAGTATCCAGTCAGCCCTCACTATTGGAACCCCAACCACGGACTGAAGAGACTGTTTGACCCACAGTTGGTTGAATGTGCAGATGTAAAACCGGCGGATCGGGAGAGCTGAATGTATGTCTATTGAAAACTACCCCCATATAAGTGGACCCATGCAGTTCAAACCCGTGCTCAAGGGTCTACTGTATGTATAAATAGTGAATCGTTACATTGCACACCTGAAACTAATGTTAAATGTCAATTATACCTCAAAAAACAAGCACAAAAAACCTAAAACTTATATACTCACTCTGCACCAAAAACTGAGCTAAGCACTTTACATATACTTCACTTAACCCCCAAACAACTGTTACTATCCCCATTTTAGGGATTACAAACAATAACCCTAGGCCCTGAGACATTAAGTAACCCACCCAAGGTCAGAGAGCTGGCAGAGCTGGGATCAACCCAGGCAGCCACGCTCTGAGCCACTGCGTAGGGAGGGGTGTCCTCTTTCAGGCAAAGACACGGAGGCTCGAGGCACCACCGCAGCAAGAGCCTGCCATTCAAACACAGCTCTGCAGGCCCCAAAGCCCAAGCACTTCCTGCGATGTGGGGCTGTCGGCAGGGAGACGGCCTGTCACCCAGGGCAGAAGCCCCAGCCTGGTCGGTTCCCACCAAAGACTCTGTGTTCGGGCTGCAGCCTGCCTGGCACCCAGGTGTGCCCGCTGCCGTAGGCATAGGCGGTGTGCGATTCCAGGCCCCGGCCTGGTGGAGATGGAAGGGAGCTGCAGAGGGCTCAGAGGAGCGTCCTGAAAATGGTCTGTGGGGGACAGATGTGGAGGACAAGGCCTAGAAGGGATGGAGGCATTACAGTATGGAAGGGAAGCAGGGGCTGGTTAACAAACCCATAATGTTAGACACAAGAGGTTGAAGTTTGAACAAGGAAATCGGGGTGTTGGGGGATGCCTTGAGGTAATTCTGCTATAGTACTTATCACACGGCATAAACGACCAGTCACTGTGCACACCTACTACGTGCCAGCCACGGCATGAGGTGCTTTCTCCCGCACGCCACAGGCAGTCGGTAAGTGCTTATCTCATGGCTGACTCCACCATCAGTTAACCTGGGAATCAGCTCCTCTGAGGCAGAGCTGGCAACATCTACAGAGGGCATGCGTGCCCAGTCTTTGTTTCTCTATTCTCTCCTGTGAGAGGAGGGGAGAAAGGACTGAGACTTCTCCCCAGTGTTCTTGGGCCTCAGGTTCAACTTGGCAAAGTGGGATGTTGGGGGGCTCAGCAGAGCGTGTTTTCTTTCCCCTAACTTCCCTCTGGGGAGCCATCCCTGATCCCCACCCCAACCCTCTCTCCCACACCCTTCGAATGATCTCACGTGCCATCTTTGGTTTCGCCTTCTCTTGTTCTAGAGGACAGCAGAAGTTTCTTCCTCATGAACTCTGCCCCCTCCCTATTTTGATAATAGAGGCTTGATTTCCCTTGTGAAGTACCTCTCCCCCATCCCCAGTATCTGTGCTATTGATCATTTGCACCCCTACCCCCCCTGTCTGCAAGGGTGGGCACATCAAGGTCACAATGATTGCTCCAAGGAAGGGCACATGACCAAACTGGGCCAATGAGAATCAGCCCTAGGATTTTTGCTTCCTCTGGTGAAAAACAGGTATACCCTTTCCATGGAATTGTTAAGTTAGGTGCAGCTGACGTCTTTGTCCCATTGTGGGAAGTGCCTGCTTTCAAATAAAGCCATCAGTGAGAAAAGCAGAATAAGAGATAAAGAGAGTCATCATTTCAGAACAAAATGTGACCCAGCCGTGCCTGACATCAGTGCTATGCTGAGAGCTCTGGTTAGGTGAGCCAGTGAAAAACATCTTCCCTTAGTTACCTTGAGTTGGGTTTCTACCATTTACACCCAGAGAAAACATGACTAATACATCTGTGACCACAATCCCCAGTCCAGGAGGTGCCACTGGCTCAATGCCCCTTACAGCCCAGGGTGACTAACACAACAGAAATCTCCACTTCTGGAGAGATACGCGTTACTCTAAGAGTTTTACATATTTCCACCTGTTGCCTTCTTACCTTCCTTCAAGTCTCTTAAAGCACGGCTTTAAGAAGCTCCCTGCATAGCCCAGCCAAAGCGCTACACTCCACTGGCCGGCATGGGGTGGGGGTGGGGGTGGGCCTTCGGTAAACGCCTTCACACTCTGAGCCTAAGCTCTGGTGTCAGTAACACGGGAGAACGCCTGCCATGGCTGTGAGGCTGGAGTGCCAGGCTTAGGTCTGCATGGAGCAAACGGCAGTTCCCTTCCTGTATTGAAAGTGCAGTTTGTATTGTTGCTCATCCTCACCAGCGGACATGTTTTCCGTGGATTTTTGTTATTTATTTATTTAAATTTATCTTTATTGTTGAAAGTATTACAGATGTCCCCTTTGTTTGTTGTTTGTTTAAAATATATTTTATTGATTTCTTACAGAGAGGAAGTGAGAGAGACAGAGAGTTAGAAACATCGATGAGAGAGAAACATCAATCAGCTGTCTCCTGCACCCCCCCCACTGGGGTCATGCCTGCAACCAAGGCACATACCCTTGACCGGAATCGAACCTGGGACCCCTCAGTCCCCAGGCCAACGCTCTATCCACTGAGCCAAACCAGTCAGGGCCCCTTTGTTTGTTTGTTTTTCCCATTGACCCCTCTACCATGCACCGCCCCACCACTGTATTGTCTGTGTCCATGATTTTTAGAGAGTGGAATGGGGGAACGGAGGGAAGGAGAGAGAGAGAGAGAGAGAGAGAGAGAGAGAGAGAGAGAGAGAGAGAAACATCGATGTGAGACATC